AAATAGCTGGGCATTGTGGCAGGCGCTTGTAGTCCCAGCTACTTGGGAGGCTGAGGCAAGAGAATTGCTTAAGCCCAAGAGTTTGTAAGTTGCTATGAGCTGTGATGCCATAGAACTCGACTGAGGGTGACATAGTAAGACTCTGTCTCAAAAAAAAAAAAAATACATTCCTAGCAACCCTGTATAAGAGCTCCCTTTTGGCTGGGTGAGGTGGCTCACACCTGTAATCTTAGCACTCTGGGAGGCTAAGGTCAGTGGATCTGAGACCAACCTGACCAAGAATGAGACCTCTTCTCTTCCAAAAACAGAAAATTTACCTGGACATTGTGGTAGACACCTGCAATCCCAGCTACTTGGGAGGCTGAGGCAGTAGCATCATTTGAACTCAGGAGTTTGAGGTTGCTGTGAGCTAGGCTGAGGCCATGGCACCCTAGCCTGGGGCAACAGAATGTGACTCTGTCTTAAAAAAAAAAAGAAAAATTTTAAAAAAGTTCCCTTTTCTTGGCATTCTTGCTAGAATGTTACTTTTTGTCTTTTTGATAATAGCCATTCGATCTGGGGTAGGGGTGAGATGGTATCTCGTTGTGGTTTTGATTTGCATTTCCCTGATGATTAGTGATGTTGAGTGTTTTTTTCATATACTTGTCTATTTTTATGTCTTTTGGGAAATGTCTATTCAGATCCTTTGCTCACTTTTTGATAGAATTATTGGGTTTTTTGTAGCTGTTGAGTTGTGTTCCTTGTATACACATATGCTGGATATTATTAGTCTTTTGTCAGAGGAAGAGTTTGCAAGTATTCTCCTTCATTCAACAGATTGTCTTTTACTCTGTTGTTTACCTTCACTGTGAAGAAGCTTTTTAATTTAATATAGTCCCATTTGTCTATATTTGTTGTTGTTGTTGCCTGTGCTTTTGAGGTCTTAGCCATAAAATATGTGCCTAGACCAATGTCTAGGCATTTCCCATATATTTTCTTCTAGTAGTTTTATAGTTTAAGGTCTTACACTTAAGGCTTTAATCCATTTTGAGTTGATTTTTGTATAGGGGTCCAGTTTTATTCTTCTGCAGATGATTTTTCAGCAACATTTTTTGAAGAGACTGTCCTTTCCCCAATGTATGTTCGTGGCATATTTATTGAAAATCAGTTGGCTGTCAATATACAGATATATTTCTGCTTCTTTATTCTGTTACACTGATCTATGTTTGTTTTTATAACATACATGTATACTATGCTATTTTGGTTACTACAGCTTTGTAGCATCTTTAGAAGTCACATAGTGTGATGCCTGTAGCTTTATTCTTTTTGTTCAGGATTGCTTGGCCATTTGGGCTCTTTTGTGGTTTTGTACAAATTTTTGGATTGTTTTTTCTACTTATGTGAAGAGTGATATTGGTATTTTGATAGGGATTGCACTGAATCTGCAGATTGTTTTGGGAGGTATGGGAAGTATTTAATTCTTCCAGTCCATGAGCATGGGATGTCTTTCCATTTGTTTGTATCCACTTTGATCTCTTTCCTTGGTGTTTCATACTTTTTCTTATAGAGGTCTTTCACTTCTTTAATAAAATTTATTCCAAGGGTTTTGTTTTTGAGCACTTGTAAGTAGGATTGCTTTCTTGATTTTGTTTTCAACTACTTAGTTACTGTTGTATAGAAATGCTACTGAGTTTTGTATGTTGATTTTGTACCTGGCAACTTTATTGAATTTGTTTATCAGTTCTAAGAGTTTTTAGGTGGAGTCTTTAGGTTTTTCCACGTATAAGGTCATGTTATCTGCAAAGAGGGACAATTTGACTTCCTCTCTTCCAATTTGGATGTCTTTTATTTCTTTTCTTGCCTGATTACTCTGGCTAGGACTTCCAGCACTAAGTTGAAATGACTGATGAAAGTGGGTATCCTTATCTTGTTCCAGTTCTTAGAGGAAAAGCTTTTGGCTCTTCCTCATTCAGTATGAGGTTAGGTGTGGGCTTGTCATATATGGCCCTTATTATGTTTAGGTACATTCTTTCTATGCCTAATTTGTTAAGAGTTTTTATCATGAAGCAATGTTAGATTTTATCAAATGCCTTTTCTGCATCTACTGAGATGATCATGTGCTTTTGTCCTTTATTCTGTTGAAGTAATATACCACATTTATTGACTTGTGCTTTTTTTTTTTTTTAAGAGACAGAGTCTCTTTATCACCCTTGGTAGAGTGCCATGGTGCTCACAGCTCACAGCAACCTCCAACTCCTGGGCTTAGGCAATTCTCTTGCTTCAGCCTCCTGAGTAGCTGGGACTATAGGCACCCACCATAACACCCAGCTATTTTTTTTTTGTTGCAGTTTGGCCGGGGCGGGGTTCAAACCCGCCACCCTCCGTATATGGGGCCGGCACCCTACCCACTGAGCCGCAGGCACTGTCCTGACTTGTGCATGTTAAACCATCCTTGCATCCCTGAGATAAATCTCACTTAGTCATGGAGAATTCTCTTTTTGATGTGTTGTTGGATTAAGCTTGTTAGTCTTTTGTTGAGGAATTTTGCATCTATTTTCACAAGAAATATTGAAATGTAGTTTTCTTTTTCTTGTTGTTGTTGTGTGCTTGTCTTATTTTAGTATCAGGGGAACACTGGCCTTATAAAATGGGTTAGAAAAAACTACTTCCTCTTCAATTTTTTAGAATAGTTGAGAAGAATTTGTGCTCTTCTTTATAAGTTAGATAGAATTCAGCAGTAAAGCCTTCCAGCCTGGGGTTTTCTTTATTGGGAGACATTTTCTTACTGATTCAATCTCATTACTCAT